CAGGTAAATTTATCACCTTTCCCTATCAAATAGCATTGAAAGGTGATTTTTACCTGTACCTACCTGTGGACATTGGATTGTGAACGAATATTATTTATGTTTCCTATGTTCCTTATTTTTGTTTTATTTTCAAAATTAGATTTATGTCCTTTAATTTCTTATTTTTAAACGAGTTTTTGAACAACTGTCTTTCTCCGTCTTTCTATATCTTTCTTCTGTCCCATATAACGAAGTGGGCCTTAACGTGACGTTACGTGACGCGTATTTCAAATCACTCTCCATTGTCGTCCAAATATCAGACCGCCGCACAGTGTGAAATTTTTGGGATCTAGCTGGAAAAAAATATTTTAGCGGTTTTTTTAATGAAATATGATTTTTTTTTCTTCATAGATAGGAGATTTTGACAAAACAAGTTTGAGCATGCACCAAAATAATTTTGCTCTTGCTCTCCATTTAAGATTTTCTAGGGGGTAGCTTTAGGGGCTGGGGGAGGTGAATTTTGCATAAAAACTCATTCCCCTTCAAATTATAGTTGATGTGTTTCAGGGATTTTCTCGAACATTTTTCAACTCCGAGATAATATGAGTAGTTAGTTTTAAAATGAATACCCTGTATATAGATGAAACGCACCTAACCGCAGCTAATTTTTTTTTCAACACATGGTCCATAACGTGAGGTTCTAAAAAAATATAGAATTATTGTGGTATTATGTGGTATTATTAATCAAAAATATTTTTAAAGTTACTAAATTGCAATTTTTAATACGTAAACTGCATGTACTTCTTTTCAATTTTTTTTCAGTTGAACTATCTTGCAGGGATATCTTTTAAAAAAGATAACTTACCATGTACGTGTTAAAGAAGACTATTATCAATGCAGATTTTCGGTGAAATTTAACACTTTTAAATACAACGGCTACAAAATTTAACTAAATAGACACTAAATATTGTGCATATTCTTACCGCCTTGTCCGAGATATAAGGTACGGCGCATTTTTAAATAATAATGTTAAATTTGAAAATAAACATATGTTTTTAATTGGTCAATGGACATTACCTGGATTAATTTTAAAATAAATATAGGCATGTGATAAAGTTGGGAAAACGAATTAATTCCACCTAATACGCTAAAATTTCACACTGTGCGCCGCCTATAAAGTTTCACTTCAAAGATTAAAAATATATATATATATATATATATGTATATGTATATAAAAGATGGGCCCCGGGAAAATCCTTGCGGGGGGGCCCCAGATTTGAAGTTACGCCACTGTCTCAAAAACTGTGTAAGTTATCACAACCAATTTTGTACAGCTTATAGAGAATTTAATGCTCTTTTCAATGATATATAATTAAAGTAATTTGCTCAAAAATCATTAAAGATACGAACAATTATTAATGAGCGTGTCAAGATTTCAAAAAATTTCCAGAACCAAAAATGAGATTTCCTTATAGATTTTTTTTCTCATCGAAATTCTAAAATCCAACTGATGTTAGAGTTGTTCCTGACTTATTTGGACTCGCTCTTTCGATTGAAAAAATCAAAATTGAGAAAAATCTGAAAATTAAAATTTTCAATTTTTTGCACTTTTTCCTAAGGGTTACCCCTTTTAATTTTTATTTGGAAATCTTCAAACTTCGATATCTCGATAACCAAAAGCAGGACTGGGATAAAATTTCCAGGGAATGTAGCTCTTCATAAGGGCTTTAAGATGGTATTTAGTTGAAGTCGCTAGCATTTAAAGTTTTTGAGAAAATCGAATTTGAAGTTTTGGACAAAGTTTTGACTAAAATCCAACTTTGAAAGTCGATTGCTCATGAACCCGTTGAGTTACTGGAACCAATCTGGCACAGTTTTGAAGAGAATTTAATGCTCTTTCCAGTGATATGTAACTGTAGCTAATTTGCTCAAATTTTAATAAAGATATGGACCATTAATCATGAGCCTGTCAATATTTCGAAAAATTTTCGGAGCCAAAAATGAGATTTCCTTATGGATTTTTTTTCTGATCAAAATTCTAAAATCTAACTGATGTTAGAGTCGTTTATGACTAATTTGGACCCGCTCTATCGATTTCTAAAGTCAAAATTGAGAAAAATCCAAAAATAAAAATTTTCAATTTTTCGCACTTTTTCCTAGGGCTAACTAACCCCTTTGGATTTTACTTATAAATCTTCAAACTTTGATATCTCGATAACCAAAAGCAGGACTGGGATAAAATTTTCAGGGATTGTAGCTCTTCATAAGGGCTTTAAGATGGTATTTAGTTGAAGTCGTTAGCATTTATAGTTTTTGAGAAAATCGAATTTGAAGTTTTGGACAAAGTTTTGACCAAAATCCAAATTTGAAAGTCGATTGCTCATGAACCCGTTGAGTTACTGGAACCAATCTGACACAGTTTTGAAGAGAATTTAATGCTCTTTCCAGTGATATGTAATTGTAGCTAATTTGCTCAAATTTTAATAAAGATATGGACCATTAATCATGAGCCTGTCAATATTTCGAAAAATTTTCGGAGCCAAAAATGAGATTTCCTTATGGATTTTTTTTCTGATCAAAATTCTAAAATCTAACTGATATTAGAGTCGTTTATGACTAATTTGGACCCGCTCTATCGATTTCTGAAGTCAAAATTGAGAAAAATCCAAAAATAAAAATTTTCAATTTTTCGCACTTTTTCCTAGGGCTAACTAACCCCTTTGGATTTTTACTTATAAATCTTCAAACTTTGATATCTCGATAACCAAAAGCAGGACTGGGATAAAATTTTCAGGGATTGTAGCTCTTCATAAGGGCTTTAAGATGGTATTTAGTTGAAGTCGCTAGCATTTATAGTTTTTGAGAAAATCGAATTTGAAGTTTTGGACAAAGTTTTGACCAAAATCCAACTTTGAAAGTCGATTGCTCATGAACCCGTTGAGTTACTGGAACCAATCTGACACAGTTTTGAAGAGAATTTAATGCTCTTTCCAGTGATATGTAATTGTAGCTAATTTGCTCAAATTTTAATAAAGATATGGACCATTAATCATGAGCCTGTCAATATTTCGAAAAATTTTCGGAGCCAAAAATGAGATTTCCTTATGGATTTTTTTTCTGATCAAAATTCTAAAATCTAACTGATGTTAGAGTCGTTTATGACTAATTTGGACCCGCTCTATCGATTTCTGAAGTCAAAATTGAGACAAATCCAAAAATGAAAATTTTCAATTTTTCGCACTTTTTCCTAGGGCTTAACCCCTTTGGATTTTTAATTATAAATCTTCAAACTTTGATATCTCGATAACCAAAAGCGAAACTGGGATAAAATTTTCAGGGATTGTAGCTCTTCATAAGGGCTTTAAGATTGTATTTAGTTGAATTCGCTAGCATTTATAGTTTTTGAGAAAATCGAATTTGGGATTTTGGACAAAATATTAACTAAAATCCAACTTTGAAGGTCGATTGCTCATGAACCCGTTGAGTTACTAGAACCAATCTGGCACAGTTTTGAAGAGAATTTAATGCTTTTTCCATTTATATATAATTGTAGCTAATTTGCTCAAATTTTATTAAAGATATGGACCATTAATCATGAGCGTGTCAATATTTCGAAAAATTTTCAGAGCCAAAAATGAGATTTCCTTATGGAATTTTTTTTTGACATCGAAATTTCCAAATTTAACTGATGTTAGAGTTGTTTCCGACTAATTTGGACCCGCTCTTTCGAATAAAAAAGTCAAAATTGAGAAAAACCCAAAAATAAACATTTTCAATTTTTTGCACTTTTTCCTAAGGGTTACCCCTTTTAATTTTTATTTGGAAATCTTCAAACTTCGATATCTCGATAACCAAAAGCAGGACTGGGATAAAATTCTCAAGGATTGTAGCTCTTCATAAGGGCTTTCAGATGGTATTTAGTTGAAATCACTAGCATTTATAGTTTTTGAGAAAATCGAATTTGAAGTTTTGGACAAAATTTTGACTAAAATCCAACTTCGAAGGTCGATTGCTCATGAACCCGTCAAGTTACTGGAACCAATCTGCCACAGTTTTAAAGAGAATTTAATGCTCTTTCCAGTGATATGTAATTGTAGCTAATTTGCTCGAATTTTAATAAAGATATGGACAATTAATCATGAGCGTGTCAATATTTCGAAAAATTTTCAGAGCCAAAAATGAGATTTCCTTATGGATTTTTTTTTCACATCGAAATTACAAAATTTAACCGATGTTAGAGTTGTTTCCGACTAATTTGGACCCGCTCTTTCGATTTAAAAAGTCAAAATTAGGAATAATCTAAAAATGAAAATTTTCAATTTTTTGCACTTTTTCCTAAGGCCCTTTGGATTTTTACTTGTAAATCTTCAAATCTCGATATCTCGATAACCAATAACGGGACTGGGATAAAATTTTCAGGGATTGTAGCTCTTGATTTGGGCTTCAAAATAGTACATAGCTGAAATCCCTAGTGTTTATAGTTTTTGAGAAAAACAAGTTTGAAGTTTTGGACGAAATGTCGACTAAATTTCAATTTTGAGGCTCAATATCTCAAAAACTATATAAGTTATCAAAACCAATTTTGCACAGCTTATAGAGAATTTAATGCTCTTTCTGATGATATATAATTGAAGCAGTTTGCTCAAAAATCATCGAAGATACGAGCAATTATTCATGAGCATGTCAAGATTTCAAAAAATTTCCAGAGCCAAAAATGAGATTTCCTTATGGATTCTTCTTCTCATCGAAATTCTAAAATCCAACTGACGTTAGAATTGTTCCTGACTAATTTGGACCCGCTTTCAAGCCCTTTGGACATGTCACAGGTTTTAAAACAATCAATTTTTTAAATAATTAAGCCTGTAAAGGAACAAAAATGACCATTTGACCATTATTTTAACCCACTAATTACCTTCCCACAAATTAGCAAAGTGATAATTTTAGACCTGCTTTAGTAAAAATATACCTGTTCGGTTATTTAAAAAGTCCCTCCACTCTCCATTTACAACGCAAACTCGTCCATGTCCCATCTCTTTAAACATTGTAATAATTTAAATATCGGTACTACTCGAGCGTACCGCGAGAGAGGAGACTCACCTCTAACAACCTTGCTAAGTACCACATACATTAGTTTAAAATTAAATAATTTACCTTGGGGAGATAAACATACAAACATTATGGTGAGTACCTAATTTAATTTAAAATTGTATATGCAGTGTAGTGGAAATAAAGTGTTAATTGTTTCTTATAGGCCAATAAACCTACAATAATGTTAGTTATATTTGTGTCGTTGGTTGTTTTGGCCAGATGCAACAATGACGATGAACAATCAACCAAAGTGCAACAAGAACGAAAACATACCAGGCTTGTTTTGAATCCTTTTTCACCTTTTGCTATTCCAGTGGTTGTTTCTGAAGAAGAGGAGGACAAAGGAATTGATGTTAAGGAGAAACGAGAAAATAATAAGGAGAATAGGGATAAATATGATTAAAGTTGGAAATATTAGGTAATATATAAATATATATTTTGTTTTAATTTGTTTCATTTTCTATTAAACAGCCTCTCTTTTGACGGATTAAGTTTTTTTAATACAAAAATCCCCCATATATAATCATCGAATTCCAGCTCTACAAGCTACAAGTTTACTAGTGAATGAGTCATCATTTATTCAAGCGCAAAAGGGGGTGTCTTTTGTGTGCACTCGACCCTCTTCGCCCGGGATTTTGGGGTAGGTTAGGGGACGATTTCGCCTCTGACTTCCCACGCACACTGAACCCTCTCTTTCCCGTATAGCTTTATCGATTTTGGTTTGCCGACAAAAATTAGTTTCTATCCAAAGACAGCTTCCGGCAATTTAACTCTTTTCCCAATGATTTTGAAGAGTTAATTTCAAATTTCAATTGATTATATTCCAATATTCCTTTATAAAAAAATAGGGTGATGTTGCAAAGCTTGGTAACTATACGGGATACATATATTAACACTGAAGGATTTGCATAATATTCACTATAAATTGAAGATTGATAAAATGATTTGAAAGAGTTAATCTTTTCCATTATATTGCACTTTCCAAAAACCCTTTTTTTAACATTTATGTTGTCAACAGGCTGCAATGTTCATGTTTTGTGTGACGATGAGAAACATTTCTAAGCTTTACAATTTACAGCTGAAGATATGAGAAATGCTATGACTACATGGTCAGAATTTATAGGCGTTGATGGGACATATATAAGTTGATAAATATTGCACAGTTTTTCTATTTTTGGTTGAAAATTCTAATGTGCAAGCTGAAATTGTATGTGTATCATTATCATTACTTTCGGTTGAGGATAGAGATACAGTAGAACCCCAATTATCGGAGGTAACGTGGGGGGGTATTCACCTCGGATAACTGAAAACTCGGATAATCCGAATATGTATACAGGATATACCATTTAAAACGAAACAGGCTAAATATCTGATGTCACTTTTATTTTTTTCAAACCTCAATTGCTCGATAACCATTGAGTAAATTGCATTAAAATTTCCAGAATTTGTAGCTTTTATGAAGTTCCAAATGGCTTATAATTTACAATATTTCCAAATTTATAGTTTTTCAGCAAATTGAGTTTGACGTTTTTAACATAATTTGAACTAAAAGTCAACTTTGAGGCTCAATTGCTCAAAAACTATCCGAGCTATCGAACTCAATTGCACAGATTTATAGAGAATTTAATGCTCTTTTCAATGATGTATAATTTATTTCAATTTGCTTAAAATTTACCAAAGATATGGGCAATTGTTCATGACCATGTCAAGATTTTGAAAATTTTCCAGAGCCAAAAATAGGATTTTCTTTTTATTTATGTTTCTGCTTAAAATGGGCATTTGGAATTGATATCAGGGTTGTTTTGCACTAATTTTGACCCGCTTTATCGATTCATAAAGTCAAAATTGAGCAAAACTAAAAAATAAAAAAATCGAATTTTTCATAAGGGTATCCCTTTGAAATCTGATTTCAAAATATTCAAACCTCAATTGCTCGATAAGGGTTGAGCAAATTGCATTGAAATTTTCAGCATTTGTAGCTCTTATCAAGCTCAAAAAGACCTGTAATTTACAATATTCCCAAGTTTATAGTTTCTGAGAAAATGGAATTTGAAGTTTTTAACAAAATTTAGACTAAAAATCAACTTTGAGGCTCAATTGCTCAAAAACTATTTGAGCTATCAAACTCAATTTTGCAGAGATTTATAGAGAATTTAATGCTCTTTTCAATGATGTATAATTTGCTTAAAATTTACTAAAGATATGGGCAATTATTCATGACCATATGTTAAGATTAAATTCAGGGTTCTATGAAAAATTAATGAATATAGGTACCTACTATCCAATTATTTTTAGATAAATATGCACCATATTAAAAGTAAATTTATTGAATTTGATCTAGTGTAAAATTTAGTGAATGTCGCTTACACCACTATACGAGATCATAGCGACGATATATAAACATTTCCAGCAGCACCTCCACCTAGTACTCCTAAGGCACATAGTCCAGCAATAATATAGCAAGCTATCCAATTCAAAATCATTATTTATTCATCTAAAAGTATGTATGTATAATTAAAAAAAATTTAGATCCCAATATAAAAAAAAAAATAAGTCAATAAGAAGAATAATACAATATTTCTACCGAATCATCCGTTTCTCGGACAACTCTTGGAGCTGGTATCCTTCTAATCAACTTCTTAGTCCGTCGATTCAGCATACGAATTTGCCTATAAGGTGTCCTACAAAGTGGACAAGCATTTTGCCTTTTAGACCATTTTTTTAAGCAGCTAAGACAAAAAAAGTGTCCGCAACTTTTAGGCGAACCGATGTACGATTTGTTCATTTGCTCCAAGCATATTGAGCATTGTTCTTCTTCGTTGCGTTTTAGTCTTTTTTCTCTATCTGATTGGTCGGTTTCATTGGCTTGGCGTTTTCTTGTATTGTTGTAATCCATTTTTTATATTGGTTTAATTTTGACGACACAAAAAGGAACAAATATTGTCAACAATTGTATAATTTGACAGGACACCTGGATTTAATTCAGGTTTTTGAGTGAAAAAGTTTTTGCCGCAGAGCCGAATCTCCTCTTGGCGCAAGGTGGCGTGTTGACACAGTTGTTACTTTACCATGAGCATAATCAGAGTTAGCTTCTAAGGAGTTGCACATTCTTCCACGATCGGTTAATATTTGCTTTGTCTTACATGCTATTTTAGGAAAACTGGACTAGGAATACTCAACCAGGTTGGAATTGAAGAATCATTTGTAGATCTTTGAGGATGATAGAACATTCTTTCATGCGGTTAACAATTTGTTGCTGTACATAACAAAGACCTTATTGAATGTAAAGAGTCGACCAGTACCTGCTGCTAATATCAATGTTTCTTGATTTTAGAGCTAATTGAATGGTTTTCCATATAATACCATTATATCGTTCACATTGCCCATTTCCCTGCGGGTTATATTTCTCTGAAAACATGCAGTACCATTAGTCACTCCAAAAGGGATTCGAGTGAAATGGAACGGCTTGATGAGTTTCTGCAATCAGGGTTCACTTCGGTAGACGAAGAAGTAAATTTAATGTTTCTTCCCCATTTTTTGTGAAGTTCCCGTCAGGTTTTTCAATGATTCCCGTCGGTTCTATCGGACTCTTGGCTAGAATTTTCGAGAAACAGGATTTGCAACTTCGCTGCAGAACTTCTTCCAGGATTCTATTTTCGCTTTCCAAATTTCTTTGTTGTAGGTTTTGCTGCATATATGCAATTTCCGGTTTTCTTTGCTTTATTGAAAAGCTTTCGTGTATTTTTCCTAAGTATTTCGAGGTTTGCATTCCACCAATTTTGATTTGCTGAAAACGTAATCTTATGCATTTCTGCCAGTATTGCGGAGATGCGCTCCAAGAGTGTTCCAGTCATGATTCGTAAAATTGTCCAGATGGAAGAAGAAATTCAAACATGGAAAGACTGGAAAAAGAAAAGTCTGTCGATACAGAATCACTAATATCTGAGATGAGCCAAAGGGTTTGCAGCAAATGAAGAATGCCACTAAGGCTAGGCCTGTGAAACTTATTTACAATGTTGAAACTGTAAAATTGGCCTTAAAATCAGGCAGTGAATCAATGTATGAAATATCTTGCAAACAAACACCAATGCAACAAGCAGCTTACCTAAGAAAGCAAAGGAAATTCTTGAAGCCAGAAAGGTTGTTGGTGGAGAGAACTTTATCATTGGGTACCGTACTCACGGTTTATATTAAGCAACAAAAAAAACACAGAGGATATTTCCAAAATGTAGGAGGTCTACGTACCAAGTTGCATGAGCTTGTGAAGACAGTGGAGCATAAATAAATAAAAACAAACAAAAACATTAAGTACATTTTTTTCCTGATCTTTATCTCTCAGGATATACAGCATCATCCATGCTATTACCCATCATATCATCCTCCAGTTCTAAGATTAGTTCTTCCCCTTGCATTTTTCTTTGAATTTCTATATACGTTATGTCGCCTGTGTAAAAAAATCCAGGAATATGATAATCATAACATATAACTCCACAGACAAAATTCAAAATAAACACTCTGCGTTAGCCGCTGTGATACATTTCCTCTCAAATATTTTCGTGTTCGAACTGTGATAATTTACGTCCATAAATCTACGTTTACGTTGACGCAGAAATTCTCATAAGCAGTACTTGTTTAATATCTCTATACCTCAACTTTGAGGGTCAATATCTCGGAGAGTTTATGAGGTACATAAGCCAATTTTGCACGGCTTAATAGAGAATTTAATGCTCTTTCCAATGATATATAATTATAGATAATTTTCTCAGATATCATCAAAGAAATAGGTAATTATTCATGAGCGTGTCGAAAAATCTCCAGGATTTCTTTTTGGATTTTTTTTTCCCATTGAAATTTTTCAAATGTAACTGGTCTAAAAGTTTGTTTTGACTAATTTGGACCCGCTCTATCGATTTCTAGAGTCAAAATTGAGAAAAATCAAAATTCAATTTTTCGCACTTTTTCCCTTTGGATTTTTTTTTTTAAATATTTAAACCTCTATATCTTGATAACCAAAAGCGGTACTGGAACAAAATTTTCAGTAATTGTAGCTCTTGATAAGGGCTTTCGAATGGTATAACGTTAAAATCGCTAGCATTTACAGTTTTTGAAAAAATCAGGTTAAAAATTTTGGACAAAATATCGACGAAGTTTCAAATTTTGAGCTGAATATCTTGGAAACTTTACAGGCTACAAAGCTCAAGTTTGCACGGCTCAATAGAGAATTTAATGCTCTTTTCAATGATATATAATTATATACAATTTTCTCAAATGTCATCCAAGATATGAGCAATTAATCTTGAGCATGTCAGGATCTCAAAAAATCTCCAGACCCAAAAATGAAATTTCCTTTTGAATTTTTTTTCTCATCGAAATTTTCAAATGCAGCTGATCTGAAAGATGTTTCTGACTAATTTGGACCCGCTCTATCGATTCCTGAGGTCAAAATTGAGAAAAAACCAAAAATAAAAATTTTCAATTTTTCGCACTTTTTCCTAGGAGTAACCCCTTTGGATTTTTATTTTCAAATCTTCAATTTACGATATCTCGGTAACCAAAAGCGGTATTGGGACAAAATTTTCAGGATTTGTAGCTCTTGATTAGTGCTTTCGAATGGTATAACGTTGAAATCGCTAGTATTTAGGGTTTTTGAGAAAATCAGATTTAAAGTTTTAGACAAAATATCGACTAAGTTTCAACTTTTGAGCTGAATATCTGGGAAACTTCACAAGCTACAAAACTCAATTTTGAATGGCTCAATAGTTGTAGCTCTTGATAAGGGCTTTTAGATGGTATTTAGCTGAAACCGCTAGCGTTTATGGTTTTTGAGAAAATCGTGCTTAAAATTTTGGACAAAATGATGTCCAAATTTCAACTTTGGAGGTCAATATCTCAGAAATCCCAAAAGTTACGAAAACCAATTTTGCATAGTCTAATAGAGAATTTAATGCTCTTTCCAATGATGTATAATTGCAAATCATTTTCTCAAATATCATCGCCAATATGAGCAATTATTCATATGGGTGTCAAGATTTTACAATATTTTCAGATCCAAAAATGACGTTTCCTTTTGGATTTTTTTCTCTCATCAAAATTTCCAAATATAACTGATCTGAGAGTTGTTTCTGACTAATTTGGACTCGCTCTATCGATTTAAAGAGTCAAAATTAGGAAAAATTCAAAAATTCAAATTTTCAATTTTTTGCACTTTTTCCTAAGGGTAACCCCTTTGGAATTTCATTTGCAAATCTTCAAATTTGAATATCTCAATAACCAAAAGAGATACTGAGACAAAATTTTCAGAATTTGTAGCTCTCGATAAGGGCTTTCAGTTGGGATTTAGCTGAAACCGCTAGGGTTTATGGTTTTTGAGAAAATCGTGCTTAAAATTTTGGACAAAATGATGTCCAAATTTCAACTTTGGAGGTCAATATCTCGGAAATCCCAAAAGTTACGAAACCCAATTTTGCACAGTCTAATAGAGAATTTAATGCTCTTTCCAATGATGTATAATTGCAAATCATTTTCTCAAATATCATCGCCAATATGAGCAATTATTCATATGGGTGTCAAGATTTTACAATATTTCCAGATCCAAAAATGAGGTTTCCTTTTGGATTTTTTTCTCTCATCAAAATTTCCAAATATAACTGATCTGAGAGTTGTTTCTAATTTGGACCCGCTCTATCGATTTAAAGAGTCAAAATTAGGAAAAATTCAAAAATTGAAATTTTCAATTTTTTGCACTTTTTCCTAAGGGTAACTAACCCCTTTGGAATTTCATTTGCAAATCTTCAAATTTGAATATCTCAATAACCAAAAGAGATACTGAGACAAAATTTTCAGTATTTGTAGCTCTCGATAAGGGCTTTCAGTTGGTATTTAGCTGAAACCGCTAACGTTTATGGTTTTTGAGAAAATCGTGCTTAAAATTTTGGACAAAATGATGTCCAAATTTCAACTTTGGAGGTCAATATCTCAGAAATCCCAAAAGTTACGAAAACCAATTTTGCATAGTCTAATAGAGAATTTAATGCTCTTTCCAATGATATATAATTATATACAAATTTCTCAAATGTCATCCAAGATATGAGCAATTAATCTTGAGCATATCAGGATCTCAAAAAATCTCCAGACCCAAAAATGAAATTTCCTTTTGAATTTTTTTTCTCATTGAAATTTTCAAATGCAGCTGATCTGAAAGATGTTCCTGACTAATTTGGACCCGCTCTATCGATTCCTCAGGTCAAAATTGAGAAAAAACCAAAAATAAAAATTTTCAATTTTTCGCACTTTTTCCTGGCGGTAACCCCTTTGGATTTTTATTTTCAAATCTTCAATTTACGATATCTCGGTAACCAAAAGTGGTATTGGGACAAAATTTTCAGTAATTGTAGCTCTTAATAAGGGCTTTCAAATAGTATAACGTTGAAATCGCTAGCATTTACAGTTTTTGAAAAAATCAGGTTTAAAATTTTGGACAAAATATCGGCTAAGTTTCAACTTTTGAGCTGAATATCTTGAAAACGTTACAAGCTACAAAGCTCAATTTTGCACGGTTCAATAGAGAATTTAATGCTCTTTTCAATGATACATAATTATATACAATTTTCTCAAATGTCATCCAAGATATGAGCAATTAATCTTGAGCATATCAGGATCTCAAAAAATCTCCAGACCCAAAAATGAAATTTCCTTTTATTTTTTTTTCTAATCGAAATTTTTAAATGCAGCTGATCTGAGAGTTGTTTCTGACTAATTTGGACCCGCTCTATCGATTCCTGACGTCAAAATTGAGAAAAATCCAAAAATAAAAATTTTCAATTTTCCTCATTTTACTCCATTGGATTTTTATTTGCAAATCTTCAAACTTCGATATCTTGGTAACCAAAAACGGTACTGGGACAAAATTTTCAGGATTTGTAGCTCTTGAAAAGGGCTT